GAGACACAGTCCTTTTTGTGTCCCACAGCTTGGATGGAGTCAGTGGGCTGCAGCAGGGGCAAGCCCAGGGGCCTGGCGCGGTTGCCAGTTTGCAGCAAGTCTCAATTGTTTCTTGCTGAGACCATCCATGGTCCCTCAGCTGGAAAAGGATATGAATATAGTGCCTTATCCTCTTCTTCCTCCACCTTTGCCAGGTGATAGAGAAGGTCAGGCAAATCTGTGATGAGAACCAGCAGAGTCATGAGAGGGAGAAGTGTCTGCAGGAGGAGTTAAGCTCCAGGCTCATGAAGGAGAAGGAGGTGTCTGCAAACATTGAGGTGCTCAAGAATTCCCTGCTGGACCTCCAGGTCAGTCCTTTAAATACTGAGGACCAAGTGGCAGTTGGGAGATGGTGGCACAGGGCATTTTGTTGGCCTGAGGATAGGTTAAAGATATGACCCTGAAGCAGAGTGTCGTCCCAAAGCGTTCACGTGGCTGTTCCCAGCAGTTTGCCATAGAATCCTAGAATAGTTTGGGCTGGAAGGGACCTTAAAGCTCATTTCATTGCACCCCCTGCCATGGGTGGGGACACCTTTCACTAGACCAGGTTGCTCCAAGCTCTGTCCAACCTGGCCTGAGATGTTCAGTGAGGTTGTGTCATTTGCCAAGTCCCTGAAAGCCCCTGACTGTGGAGACTGGCTTGTTCCCCACTGGTTCCATTTTTAACAGGCTTGCCTGAGGAGCTCCTGCAGCAGCACCAGCCTGCAAGGGAAGCTGGAGCAACTGGAGGTGGTGTCCCTGGATCCCTCCATCTCAGCCATCAGGACAGCAGTGGTGGACATGGCACGTGTCCCCCTCTCCTGGCTGGAGGACATGGAGCAGCTCCTGGCCAGTGCAGGGCTGGACCTGTGCACCTCTGGCCAAGGTCTGTGTCCTGCTGGGCATCCCTGGGAACACCTGCACAAGGTGGGTTGTCCTAGCTAGCCAGATGTAGAGGAGAAAATCCAGCATGAGCCGCTCCTTGTAGAGAAAACCATGGAATCACAGAATTTTTAAGGCTGGAAAATACCTCCGAGGTCATGGAGTCCAACCATTAACCCAGCACTGCCAAGGCCACCACTCAACCCTGTTCCCAAGTGCCACATCCACACACCTTTTGAACACTTCCAGGGATGGTGACTCCACCACTGCCCTGGGCAGGCTGTTCCAATGCCTGACCATCCTCTCCATGAAGAAATTTTCCCTAATATCCCTAATATGGTGTGTGAGCACCCCACACAGCGAGGTTGTGTTGACTTCTGCAGGGTTGTTGGCTGCTTTCAGGAGCTTGTTGGAAAAGACTCAGGAAGTGGCACAGAGGAATCAGCTGTTGCAGGTACAGAAATATTTATGTACATGAACCATGTAGATTTGGAATCTTTCTATGGTTAAACATGACAGTAATCCCAAGTGAGCCAGTGTGGGATCTGGACTGGGGATGTGCAGTAGCCAAGGTGCCTGGGTCTGCAGGAAATGCAGGGGAAAGGAGACTCTTTTGGGAATTGTTTGTGAGTGAATGTTCACAGGAGGTTTATTTCTTCCCCTGCTGCTGACACACTTCCTTTAATACCTTGGTGTCTCCCTGTAGGAGCAATTAGAGAGGCTCCAGCAGTCACAGGCAGAGATGCTACAGGAGCACACAAAGGAGCTGGAAGCAAAACATGAGCAAGACTTGGAGATAAAAATCCAGCAAATTATCCTGGAAAAGGACAAGGAGAACAAAGAGGTAGAGTGGCATGGTTGGTGGTTTGGAAAGGGAATGTTATATGCAGGGAAAATGGGTGTCTGTAAGAGTGTTGGTTATTATCTCTAGCTTTGAACTGTCTGGGTGCAGTCCTAAGAGCCCGATGGGATCCCAAGAGGATATAGAATATCCTCCTGTATGGATGCAGGTGATGTAAACTCCCCCAAAGTGTCCATGGTGGTACTGGGAAGCAGCTGTGGGTAACAGGAAGCACGGGTGCCAGTCAGTCCCTGGGAGAAAGGAGAAAGCAAGGAGCATCATCCCGATGTGTGAGCTTAGGGAAGCACTGCATTGCTTCCTCTCAAGCCCTCTGCTCTCTCCCTCCCCATGCTGAGCTCCTGTTGGGTCTGTTTTAGCTGGAAAAGGACACCCCCTGTGAAGCAGGGACCAGCAGTCCCCCTCCATCCCAGGAAAGCCTAGGCCACAATGCTGGTGGCTCTGGTGTGGGATGCAGTGTTAGTGAGGGTGCAAGTTGGTGTTTTGCCATGTCTGTGTTGTGGTGGGGACAGCAGGCCTTGTAACAGAGTTTCTAGTGTGCTTCTGTGTCTGGTGCCTCAGGAATGGAGCTTTCCTGGTGTTGAGTTTTCTAAGGACTCAGGAAAGGAGCAGCCAAGCAGCTCCTCCCCCGTCTCTAGGATGTACCTTTCCCCAGGTGCTCCCATCCACTCCCTCACTGGGTCACCTCGGGTCCTGCCAGGCTTTTCTCCCATCACCTGCCCCTGCTCTGGAGCAGTGACCCTCCCTGCTGCTTTCCTCCTTTGACCTGAGGTCTTTTTCCTAAGGTCATGATTTTTTTCTGTGCTGAAGCTGTGATCTATCGATTCCCAGATTCTAGAAAGCACTCTCGCTGAGGAGAAGGACAAGTGTAAGAAATGTGTGGAGGAAGAGCAGAAGAAGATCCAAGAGCTGGAAAGCCACCTGAAAAGCATGAATGAGGTGAGCATGGGAAGCGAAGCAGGACAACTCACCCTTGGAGTGAAGAAATGGGAATGTGTGTTGTAATGTGGTGCTCCAGGGGCCCAAATCAGTGGACTGAGGTTCCCCCCCCCCAGAGATGAATATCTGCAGAGAGAAAGGTGGATTCCTGGATAGCTTAATTACTGCTAATTTCATCCTGTAGGCAACAGCAAGGAAGGCAGAGGAGCAGGAGGTGATAGAGGGCAAACTGAAAGAAGCTTTGCATGAGCTGGAGGAAACCACTGCCCGAGAGGTACTTCCACCAACCTGTGTGTGCAGGTGGAGGGTGCAGTGTTGATGAAGAAGGGTTCCCCCATCCCTGAAATCCTTCCCTCCCCTCCGTCCTTCCAACAGCTAGCCAGGAGAGATGACACTGCTGGTGATCCCAAAGGAAACCACCAGTGCCTCCAGCCAATCTCCCAGCTCTTGTTTCCCAGGTGTTGCTACAGCAGCAGGTGCTCGTGCAGGATGAGCAGCTCAGGGCTGTCCAGGAGGACAAGGAGTTACAGAGGCAGAAACTGCAGGAAGAAATAGCAGGATACAGGGAGCAAAGCAAGCAGCATTCCCTGACCATCGTGGCTTTAGAGGACAGGCTGCTGGAGGCCACACAGGAGCAGAAGATGCTGGAGGAGGAAAAGGCAGCACTTGTGGAAAAAATGGAAGGTAGGTAAGGGTTGTATGGGATGCACCTGTACCGGGAACCTGCTGGGTTAACATGGAATGTTTATGGAGAGGGAGCAGTGAATCTGCTATGGAAAGCAGTAGGATGTCAGAGGGAGCTTTGCCCACGTGCAGGACAAGGTCCATGAGTCCCTGCAGAGGCCATTTCATTGTTTGGTGGCCTTGGAAAGTGTTGGTAAAAAGGACTTTGCCACTGGAGAAGGGCTTTTTACCCTCTAAACCAACAAGACTGGAGGAGCACTTTGGGTTACACTCCGGCAGAAGAGATCCCAAGCCAGACAGGATGTTGGGAACTGCCCAAGCGCTGTTGGAAATGGGCTCTAAGAGACATGGATTTCCCAAGGAGATGGTCCTCAGTCCTTGAAGCTGCCATGAAGGAAAGGATCTGTGTTGCAGAAGCAGCAGAACAAGTGTGCAAGTGTTACAAAGAAGTAATGGGCCTTATTTTCTCGTGTCCTGTAGTAATTCAGCGCGGTGCCCACAGGTCAGCATCAGGAGCTTGGCTGGAGGTTTGTCCTGCCATGGAGTCACACATTTGTCTGAGGTGAGCAGCTCTCACTGGTGGTGGTCAGAGAGGCTTGGAGAAGAGCAGGGACCACTGGGAGAGCCTAAGGAAGTCCAAGAAGACTTGTCCCAAGATCTTTTTAGTCTGGGATGGGCCCTTTGCTAGGCAGAGGTGTTCCTGAGGGCATGGAGCATCCTAACAGCACATGAGGATGTGCCATCCCATCCAGATGGCTCCAGGCAAGAGCGAGCGAGGTGGCCAGACCCACTGCACAGGGTGACCCCAGGGGAGCAAAAGGCAGGGAAAAAAAGGAATGTGTGAGTGTTCATTGTTCATCAGAAGATGCAGTGCAGGAAGGGATGTGTGTGCTCCGTGAAATGAGGCCTCCCCGTGAGCTGTGAGATTTGCACTGATCTGTCCCAGGAAGCTGCAGGAGGAGCTGGCAGTGGCACAGAGCATGCTTCTGGAAAAGGAGGCCTTCATTGGCAGGCTCACCAGGGAGCTGTCAGAGAGCAGAGCCAGAGTGTCGGACATGAGAGGTGGGTGTCATTGTCCCAGCCCTCCTCCAAGCAGTGACAAGGGGTGGTGTCAGTGCAGTGGGTACACACAGGACTTGGGAAGCTGATGTGACCATCCTCTGGCAATGCTGTTGTGCTGCTGGGAGCAAAGCAGGCAGTCTGTTCCCTTTGGGAAGGTGAATTTCTTCCCATCCTTGGCTAAGCAATAGCAGTGATGGTGAATGAGGAGGGTAAGCAAAGGAAGATCGGGGGACAAAACTAAGACCATCTTCCTCAAAATCGCGCTGGTGAGCTCCTTGGAGCTGGAATTGTCCCAAGCCAGTGGACTGGGAGAGCCCTGCTTGGCTTTCCTCCATGGGCAGGGCTGTGAATGTGGGGACAGAGCCCACGAGGAATGTGCAGAGGTCAAAGGATGCAAGTCAGAAAATGCTGGCAACCTGTTCCTCTCCAATCTGAAGGAAAATGTCTCAACAAGGAATTGTCCTGAGATTTAGTAAACCAGAATGTCCTGTTGGCATGGCCCAGGATCTGAGGGCAGCTGTGAAGGGCTCTGTGAAGCTCTGCGGGGATGAACCCCATTATTGCTGCCAGCTTGCATGAGGGGGGACTGGAAAAAGGGGGTGTATCCCTGAATGCCAGCTGCAGATCCCCCAGGACTGGGTGATGAGTCAGCCAGCATCCCACGAGGCTGTTTTGCACTTAGGGGAGCTGAGCGAGGAGCAGAAGGTGGAACTGGAGAAGAACCAGAGCCGCCTGAAACACCGGGAGCGGGAAGTGAACCAGCTCAGGGAGAAGCTATCCCAGATGTCCAACCTTGTGGAGGAGAAGGATCGATCCCTGAAAGCAGCAGCTGAAGAGTTAAGGTACACAGTGACACGAGCCAAGGTTCCACCAATGCCACTCTGTGGGTGCCCAGCAGCTGATGGTGTTTAGGGTTCTCCCCAGAACAAAAGGCACATGTGAGAGCATCAGGGTGGAGCTCAGCTCCATTGTAGTGATATCCACTGCCATGGGAACCGAAATGGGGGTTTAGTGGAGCTGGTGCCAGCAGATGTGTAACCAAGTCAGTTGTAACTAAGAGAGTGTTCCCACCCACACCATGGCAGTCATCAGTGGGTGCCCAGAGTGCTGCTCTCCCCAAGCTGTTCGGGTCACATGGAACATGTGATAGAACGTGCCCTTGGCATGTCCCATCCCTCATGGGGTCCCACAGTGTCTTGTGTCTCGGCACAGGCGAGCCCAAGCCCGCTGCCAGGTGCTGAGGGACGCTTCCCAACAAACAGTGGAAAAGCCTGAGGATGCTCCCAGGACACCAGTGCGGGCGGGTGAAGCCTCCCAGAGGGTGAGTCCCCACGGAGGGCACCGAGGGGTGGGTTTGCCCAGAGCACTGATGGCATCGGTGCTGTTTCTCAGCCCTGCAGTGAGGCCTGGTGACCTTCTCTGCTCCACACTGGCAGGAGGGTGGGAGCACCACATTCCCCAAGCCGGGGGCTGCCTGTGCCGCCCGAGATCCGGGGTTCTCGTGCTGCAGCCCCGGCGTTGCTGCTGCTTAATGAGCTGTTTGCACAGCGCTTTGGAACAGCAAAGTGTTGTGTGTGCTAATTGCTGTGCTAATTGGCAATTAGAGGGGATGCAACATGCGTTCCCTCCTTCTCCTTTTCCAACTCGTGGAGCCCAAGATGCTGTACAGGTGATGCAGAATCAGTTCTGGAGTGGTACATGCAGGAGTAGGGGTAGCTCGTTGCACAGGACAGGAAGAAACGCTCCTCATTCCCCTGTGCCAAACTCCTGTTTGATTTCCCCGTGGCTGGAAAAGGGAAGAACTCGCAGGTGGTGGCAGCAGCAGATGGAGGGACTGTGGGAATTGTACATTCTGTGCAGGAACGGTGGCAGCCAGCAGCGGGGCCGGCGGGCTGCGCGGGGGCCGCGGTGACTCACAGCCAGCTGACTGAGGGAGGGAGGGAGGGATCGCCCGTCCTGTTCCACAGGCGGGGATGGGGAGGGGAAGGGCCGAGTGCTGGACGTGCTGTTCGGCAGAGCTGTGGCGCGACAGTGGCTGGACCCAGAGCTGGGGGTCTGCAGCCATCATTAGCTGTGCACAGGGAGGGATGATGGGCCAGCCCCATCACAGGTTTTTGGATGTTTGTCGTAATGCAGGAATCTGGACTGGGCTGGGAGAGGGCAGTGCACACGTCTGTGTGCACGAGTGTCACTTAATAGAGAATAATGCCCAGGATTGTGTAGGAACACAGTCTAGAAAGTGTACTGGTGTTTGTGTGTAGATGGTAAGTGCTCTGTGGTAGCACAAAGGGCAAGAGAAAAATGCCACCATGGCTGTTCAGAGACATGCACTATCCCTCTCCTGGCTCTCTGGAACATTTGCAGGGCCCATGTCCTCACTGTGGCACAGTGGAGCAGGAAAGGGGTCTCTTATACCCCTCCAAATCCATGGAGATACTCCTTAGGCTTTGCTCTTGGCATGTGCCAAGTGACCAGTGCCTGGCAGCGAGGCTGTGCTTAAGCTGAGCTTGTGCTGAGCCAGCTGCAGGCTGGGTGAGGACAAGCTGGGCTGCTTCTTCCAGGTGCCACCGCTGGACTTGGCTGACCTCGGTGCAAAATGCCGAGGCCTCAGGCACCAGGAAACGATCCAGCGGCAAAAGGAAGGTTTGGCTGAGCTCCGGGAGAGAGTAAAGATGCTGGAGAAGAGGCAGAGCTCAGGTGAACAGGGCTCTCCTAGAAGCATGGAACAGTTAGAATCATGGAATGATTTGGGTGGGAAAGGACCTTAAAGCTCATCTCATTCTGCCCTCTGCCATGGGCAGGGACACCTTCCAGTGTCCCAGGTTGCTCCAAGCCCCATCCAACCTGGCCTTGTACACTTTCAAGGATGGGGAAACCACAGCTTCTCTGAGTAACCTGTGCCAGGGCCTCCCCACCCTCCCAGGGAAGCTGAGAAAAGCTGGCCAGCCTCAAAGTGGCTGAGGTGTGAAGCCACGACATGTTGCACCACAGTTTGGTGGCTGCTTGCCTCCAGGTGCTGTGAAGAAGGGTTTGGAGCCACGGGTGAAAGACTTACCGGAGGAGATAGTCCAGCACACACGGCTTGAGATGGAGCCTGCACCCATGTCAGGAACAAAATTGAAGGCTGGCAAGGTAAGAAGGCAGTTTGGGGGCTGTGGTTCCTGTGGCTTCGCTGGAAAAGTATTCCCTGGAATAGAGAATGAGTCTTTCAGAGATGCTAAGTAAGTCTTTCCCTGTCTGTGCAGGCTCCTGGCCACGTTCCTAATGGGGGCTCCCTCAGGATCACCAATAGGGCAGCGAGTTTGGAGATGGCTGAGGTGACAGACCCCAGTGAGAAGATGGTATGTCAGGGACAGACGTGGTAAATCACGTGTAGAGCGCGTGTAAGTGCCCAGTGGGTGTAGAGTTTAGAAGGTTTGTGAGCACATTTCAGAGGTGGGTGACTGGCAGGGCTCTGCAGGACCACTGAGGCTGAACTGCTCTGTGGTCCAGTTGAAGACATGGCATGGGGGTTGGATTAGATGACCTTTAAAGGTCCCTTACAACGTTCTATGATCTTATGGTCCAGGGCACATTGGGTGTCTACCAGGACATCTCAGGACCCCAGAGTGTGCCACGGCACATCATTCTCCCCTTTCCACTGCAGGCCTTTGGGGTGTTCCCCCGGGCATTCAGGGCTGATCTGCAAGGAGAGGCAGGCTTGGTGAGGACAGAGACCTTCCCCAATGTAGGTGCCAACTAAATGATATGAGAGAGGCTGGGGTGCCATGGAGGAGGCTGCCAGAGGAGGGGTCGGTGAGTAGTACAGCTGGTGGGGTCTCTTCCCTCCAAAAAGGACAGGAAAACATCCAGCAGGGAAATGGTCATGTTGGAAAAGGAAACAATCCAATCCCAATAAGCTGTGCAGCTGGGAATGGAACACAGACCCACTTTCCTTGGGACACTGTCATCTCCTCAGGAGAGCAGACGGAAAGCAGATGGCTGAGCAGCGTGATGGAATGCAGCAAACCTGGTAAATAATGCATTCCCTCTTCTTCCCTCAGTACCTTGATGTGATCGGTGCTCTGGGAAGCCTGATGGAGATGAAGGAGCTGTCGGGAATGCAGCCTCTGCAGCACCTTCCTCTGGAGGAGAGGGAAGAAGTGGGACTGCAGAGACAGAGGGCCCTGGAGCTGCTGTACAAAAAGATCAGGAACCTCCAGCATCGCCTGGAAAGGAAAGAAGAAATGCTAAAAGATTATGAGGGAAGCATGGAGCAGCTAAGGTGTGGAAAAGCAAGGTCACAGTTCCCAGTGAGACCTGGTCCTGGAATGCCAAGGGATGTGGCACCTTGCCAGGTCATGTGTCTGCCTGGGACCAGTCACAGCATGGCCATGGTATAAAAATTAAATGCTAGGAGAAATGGGGAAAGCTTCTCCCAGTTTTCTGCACTGGTACCTTGTGTGGCCTGGTGTGTTTGAGCAGTGCTAGAGCTGGGGAAACCTTGGCAGACTCCCTTGTCTGGGGTGGCTGGAGCCTGGGGCAGCTGGGGAGGAGGGACAGTGTCAGCAGGACCAGGGCAGGTGTGGGAGGGCCCAGCTGGGCGTGGGGGGGTCGATGCAGGCAACAGACTGACAGAATCCCCCCTCCTGTTTTGCACAGGCAGAACCAAGCATCCCTGCGAAGGTGTCAGGAGGAGATGTCCAACCTGGAAGAGGAAGCCCACAGGGAGGCAGAAGAGAAGGCTCTGCTGCGAGAGGCTCTGGAGAGGACACAGCTCCAGCTGGAGCAGGAGAAGAGGCTGCGGCGAGCGGCCAAACGGCACAAGGTGAGTGGGGCAGGAGCAGGTGACACCCAACTCCTGCACTCTGTACAACAGTCTGTTGGAAGCACAGATGGAGTGGTTGGTCAGACCACCCCAAGAGGCTGGAGGTCCCAGGGTCCTGCTGCTCAGCCAGTTCAGCGTCATGGCAGCATCACACTGCCAAAATTGGAGGTGGTGCAGGCACCTGTAGCAGTGGGTTTGGGCCATGTGCTGGGGTGGGGGAGAGGAGCAGGTCACACATGACTGTCAGGACCTCTCACGGTGAATGCTGTGTCCGATGTGTTTCTGTTCTGCAGCCTGGAGCCACGAAGCCTCTCTGCTCAGGCAAGCCAAGAGCCAAAGAGCACACAGCAGATGCTGTCAAGAAGGGAAGCTCACAGGGGAGGCACCACAGGGGCGTTCAGCAGGTGATGGTCTGCGGTAGGAACGAGTCACCCCTATAAACTCTGTGATGGTGGAGCAGGCTTGAGATGTGGGTGCACTTTGAGTAGCTCCTGTAGGTATCCTGTAGCTCCTGGGCACACTGGTGTGACAGTACAGTGTGTAGGACCTAATTTGCCAGCAGTCTGTGCCCCACACAGCATGGTGGGATTTATGGCAATGGAAGAGGTGGTGAGGATACAACCCAACCTATACGTGTGTGTATATATATTTGTGTGTGTAAATACAGCCATGATGTGTGAAGTCAATTGTGTGGGGTCTGTCCTTTCCTTGGCTGAAGTGGCCTCGAGCACACACAGCTTGAAATATCCCTTGCAACTCCCATATCCTCTGGTCCCTGCGGTGCCTTGGGGGAACTGGATCATAAGACATGATGTAGTGTGGAATTCCAGAATTCCTGGAACACCCCAGGAGCGGTGGAGCTGCCACACAGGAAGGGGGAAGAAGAGAACCCATGTCAGCCACACTGGTACAGCAGCAGCACGAGGACAAGCTGGGGAGATGAGAGCGACGTGCCCGTGGGTTGGGATGGGGTGATGGCACAGGGTCCTTTGCCACCCACTGTTGGCATCGACTGAGATCCCACCGCTCCTCTTGTCATTAACAAGGGTGAGAGCAGACCCTGGTTCTGGGGAGCAGCAGCGTTTTGGGGTCTCCCTGCAGGGAGCAGGCAGCTCTAATGCATGTCATCCCTGCAGCCTCTCCGCCTCAGCATCGCTCGGAGCGCTCCGTGTGCCGAGTCCTCTGCATCACTTCAGCCGAGGATAATTTGGATGTGAGCAAAGGCCCGCTGGGGGTTTTTTGGTCTTTATTTTTTAATAGGATAAAAAGGTCTGGAAGCAGCAGCATGGAGGGCTGCAGCAGGCTGATGTAGGGCTGTGGGCGTGCGCAGCACCCAGGGGTGCACAGCGGCCAATCCCTAATGGAAGTGGTGGTGCTGTGGGCTCCGGTCATCGACGTGGCCTGGTTTCCCCCCTCCCTAAGCTGGGAGAAGCTGGATGCTTCCCTGTCTGCATGCCTGGGCTTATTTTGGGGTGAGGCATGACCTTGATTGCCTGATGGAGGTTAAAGATGCTGCTGTGAGCATCCTCCGGGGGTGTCGGGCCGCTCCACGTCTGCATGTCCTCACCATCCCAAACCCTGGGTTGGGAACGGATGGAGCTGGTAGGAGCACAGGTGCTGTGTGTGCACTGGGGGCTGCAGAAGCCCCTTCCCCTCCTTGGAGCATATGGTATCATGGAATTATGAGATGGTTTGGGTTGGAAGAGACTCTAAAGATGGTCCTGGGAGAATCCCACTGGGGAATGGGACCTACTGGTGATGCCGGTGGGGGCCCTGGGGGATCACAGACAGCTTTTAGTTGAAAGGGACCCTAAAGATCATCTCATGGTGATCCCACGGGGGGATGGATGAGTACCGCCGGTGATGCCCGAGGAGGGGGGGGTCCGAAGGGATGGTGATGGGCTGACAGAGGGCGGCGGGGCGGGGACCCTCCCGTGCCCGTACGGGAGCCGGGGTGTCGCAGCCGGGCCCCGGGGCGGTCCGAGGGGACGGTGACGGGCTGGCGGGGGGCGGGCAGCCGGAGCCCCCCCAGTGCGGGTGCGGGAGCCGGGGGGCCGCAGCCCGGCCCCGGGGCGGAGCGGGGCGGAGCGGCGCGGCCATCCGGGCACCGCACCATGGCGGCGGCGGCGGAGGAGCCGGAGGGGCGGCGGGGCCGGGGGCCGCGGCCGGGGCCGGCGCCGGGCAGCCCCGCGGGGCGGGCGGTGGGCGAGGGCTCGCCCGGGGGCGGCGGCGGCCGCCGCGTCTTCAGCCCCGCCGGGGAGTTCCGCGAGTTCTCCCGGCGGCAGCTCCGCGACATGGAGCGGCTCTTCCGACAGTGAGTGCGGGGGACTGGGAGGGGGGAGTTCCCCGGGTGGCAGCGCCGGGGCGGACGGGAGACCCCCGGCATCCCGCACCTCCGGCATCCCGGCATCCCTGCTCTTGCATCCTCGGCATCCCTGCTCTTGCTTCCCCGGCATCCCGGCTCCTGGCAGGGTAGATGCCCCAGCGCCTCCCGCCCCGTGCCTGCGGGCGGGACCCCCCCATTCTTTGCGGGACGGACCCCCCGTCCCTTGCGAGAGGTGCCTCCATGCCTCTCCAACTCTGCAGAAGGGATCCCCTCGCTCTGTGCAGGAGGCTCCCCCAGCCCCAGCTCTGTGCAAGAGGGATGCCGGGGCAGCCCCAATTCCTTGCAGGACAGCCTCCCTTCCTCCTTCTCTCAGGAGGAATGCCAGGGACACCCCTCTTTTCCCAAGCCCCTCGCAGGATTGATGGCGGAGACGCCTTCCCCCAGCTCCTGGCAGGAGACATTCCTGCGCACCTCTAAATTCTTGCAAGAGGGACCTCCCGTCCCCCATGGTGGTCTGAGGCCAGAGAAGGGGGGCTGGAAGATGGGACCAGGGCCCCCCGCATTCCCTCTGCTGCAGCACTGAGGGACCCCCCGCCTTCCCTGGCGCCGCCGGGACCGCAGCTGCCAGGCTGGCGTGTCCCCAGCATCCCTGCCCGCTGCGTGCCTCCACGCGTGGCGGAGCGTGACTCCGAGCACGAGCTCGGCCCCCGGCCCCTGAGGACGAGGGGGGGGAGCTGACGGCAAACCCCGAACCCTGGAAATTTCCGTGGGGAGCCAGAAACCGGGGTGACTGCATCCCGTGGTCCTGCTGGGAACGCGCGGGAGTAGGCAGGGGCGGGCGGGACAGCCCGGAGCATCCCCATGGAGCGCGCGTTGGGTGCTTTGTGCGGGAGGCGTGGAGGCAGCGGGACTCCGGGAAGCATGGAGATGGTGCAGGCGAAGGCATATTTGCGGCATGCCAGTACCCCCCATCCCGTCTGGCACCGGGGGGGATCTGCGTCAGCGTCCCGGGTGGTCTCGCTCGGGCATGACCGAGGGGATGGAGGAAGCGGAAAGGATGGAGGCAGCGACCCTCGAAACCCAAGGTTGGGGGGCTGCGTAAGGGCGCACGCACACCCTGTCATCACCCCTGGAAGGGCAGGGAGTCTCCCTGCTCCCCGTGTCTTCCCGGAGGGGGCTGTGACCCACCGCCCGGACATGGCAGCGAGCCAGACGTGCGGGTTGCTGCGACCATCTCCCGGGACTGCAGCAGAAGGGAGCCTGCGGCGTGGGGGCACAGCTCGGGGTCCCGGGAGGGGGGGCACAGCTGCGGCTCCCGGTGCCGGAGGCGATGGGTGGCCGTGCCGGGGGTGCTCCGGCCGCGGCGCAGATGGCGGTGCGGGTGTCGGCGCCGCGCAGGCGACGGAGCGGGTGTGTGGAGCAGACGTGTTTGCTCTGACAGCTGCGGCGTCTCGCTGCAGCGAAAGGAGCAGCGCCGCGGAGGTTTGGGAGCCGGGGAGGAGGGGTGGGTCACCCAAGGGAAGGATGCTCTGGAGCAGAGCCCTGTCACGCTGACCTCGCTGCTGCTGCTGCTGTTCTAGGGATGTGGTAATCTGGCTGTGAAGAGGAAAAAGTGATGTGTAGAAGGGTTTTTTCCTTGCCACAGGGGAGATGGTGCCCTTTGGGAGATGCTGAGGGATGCTGGTGTCCCAAAAAAAACAGGGAGGAGGGGACTGAGAGCAAGGAATGCCCTGCAACTGGAGGATGGCTGGGCAACTTGCCCCTTGCAGAGAAACTCTTTGTGGGATGTGGGATGGAGAGAGACTTTGGACAAGGGCATGGAGTGACAGGACAAGGGGGAATGGCAATGGCTTCAAACTGACAGAGGGCAGGGTTAGATTGCATATTAGGAACACATTTTTCCCTTAAGGGTGGTGAGGCCCTGGCACAGGTTGCCCAGAGATGCTGTGGCTGCTCCATCCCTGGAAGTGTCCAGGGCCAGGCTGAAGCAACTTTGAATAGTAGAAGGAGCAACCATGGCAGAGGGTGGAACTGGATGGTCTTTAAGGTCCTTTGCAACCCCATTCCATGACTCTATGATTCTATGCTCCGAGAGGGGTCTTGGAGGCAGAAACCATGTGAGGTCTGAGCCCACAACCCCACTCCCGGGGTGATGGCAGCAGCAGGCAGAGGTGAGCATGGCCAGAGCAGGGCCAGCTGTGTTTTGGGGTCCCTGTCAGCTTGGGAGATCAGGAAGGCACTGCTGGAGACAGGGACAGAGCAGACAGCAGCAGGGAAGGTACAGATGAGTCACGGACCTGCGGCGTGGGGAGCCGGGGCTCTGCGTGGCTGCTGCAGCGACACGGCACACAAAAAAAAGCCCTGTCATGACAAGTGCAGCGTGTAGCTGCCCACCTACAGCATGTGGAGCTGTACCAAGCATGGCTCTGTGCTGGCTCCCCACTGGGATCCCACTGTGCCATGCCAGTGTGCTGCCGGCACAGCCCATGGCACCACGTGCACAGACAGAGGGAGGGGACAGAGGGGCTGTTGGTGGGAGGCTGGAGGGGACAGTGGTGTTGCCACAGGCAGGGGTCTAAGGAGGGACCCCCCAAGGAAGTCCCCCTGCCATGGGCAGAGACACCTTCCAGTAGAGCAGGTTGCTCCTGAGAGGGTCCAAAGGCAGGATTGGTGAGCAGAGCTGCATCTGGAGCTCTTGGCCAAGCCCAGGCACCTGGCCATGTTGGAGCATGGATGTCAGAGGCTCTGGGCAGTGGGGATGGGTCACCTGGAGGTGTCACAGTGAGGAGGAGGAGGAGGTGGTGACATGGGGAGCAGTGCCCAGTGGCATTAGCCCCATGGCCTGTTACCCTGTGTCGCAGCCAAGGGGAGCATGTGCTCAGGCTCCTGGCACAGGGAGCCGGCAGCAGGTTTGGCAGCATCCTGGCAGGTTCTCCTGCCAAGTGCCGCACAGACACGATCCTGGATAATGCTCCGGGGGGTTGTTAGCGGTTCGGAGGCAGCTTCCCTGTGGTCTGGAAAGCTGCCGGAGATCATCAGTGCCCAAGTCCTTGCTGATCCTTCCTCATTCCCTGGCCAGTGTGAGTGCACACGCAGGGGGTCTGGTGCTGGGGGGTCACTGCAGGGGGCTGCATGGGCTCTGCCTCCATCCCACAGGTACGATGCAGGGAAAGACGGCTTCATTGACCTGATGGAGCTGAAGCTGATGATGGAGAAGCTGGGGGCTCCACAGACACACCTGGGCCTGAAGAACATGATCAAGGAGGTGGATGAAGACCTGGACAGCAAGCTCAGCTTTCGAGAGGTGAGGGGTGAGAGGGGCTGAGGGGCTCCACGCTGGCAGGGAGGTGTCCCCAGCCGCTGTTTGTGGTGGAGAGAAGGTGGGGAGGGACCATGGAGGCTTTGGGGTCTGTAGGAAGCTGATACCACTGTCTCCCCTCGCAGTTCCTGCTGATTTTCCGGAAGGCAGCAGCAGGAGAGCTGCAGGAGGACAGCGGGTTGCACGCCCTGGCCCGGCTCTCCGAGATCGACGTCTCCACGGAGGGGGTGAAAGGCGCCAAGAACTTCTTCGAGGCCAAGGTGAGGCAGGTGCTGGGCAGAGGGGTCCCACTGCAGGACGGTGATGCACGAGGGCAGTTTGGTGCCGGGTGATGGGCGGGTGGGAGGTGGAGATGTGGGGGTGTGCAGGAGGGCTTGGTCCCAGCTGGACTTGTCCATCCGCAGGCACAAGCCATCAATGAAGCCAGCCGCTTTGAGGAGGAGATCAGGGCGGAGCAGGAGGAGAAGAAGAAGCAGGCGGAGGAGCTGAAGCAGAGGAAGGCGGCCTTCAAGGAGCTGCAGTCCACCTTCACGCAGTGACGGGGCTGGGCAGGACTGGTCAGCGGTGCCCGGGCTGGGAACGCTGCATGTGCCACATGATAACCATGCCGGGAGCGGTGCCAGAGCCTCGTGCTGCTCCGGCTGCCAACAGATCCCGGCGCGGGCTCGGCACAGCGCCCACCTTGCTGGCAGAGCCCGGTCGGCCCCAGCTCCCCCCTCCCCTCTTGCTGTGGTGTCTGTAGGTGTTGTTCGTGCCCCCCCCATCCCCAGCATGCCCCCCACCCTGAGCAGCCCCTGTTCCATGCCCGCAGCTGCGCCGGGGGTTGCTGCTGCTGAGTCCCAGGGGAGCTGTGTCCGGAATGCCCGTCCCTGGGACACCTGTGCCTGGACTGTTGTCTGTTGTGTGTGCACTGGGAAGTTTGCAGGATGGGGGCTTGCCCAGGTGGCCGTGGTGGGTGTTGTGGCCACGCTGGCTCAGTGTCTGTTGGTATTGCCACGTGTCACGGGTGACAAAGGCCGTGGCGAGTGCCGGGTGCTGGCAGACGGGCTCTGTGTGTGTGTGTGTGTGTATGTGTGTGGTGCTGGGGGGTGGGTGCCCACCCTGCTGGCATGGAGCCCCCAGGAGCTGTGTCTCTCTTTGTTTTGGTCAAAGACATGCAGAAAGGCAGCTGCTGGCTCGTGGGGTTGTATTATGTTTTTTCATGTTGTATTCAGCCTGGGAGGGTGAGCGTGGTGGCCACAAGTGGTTGCCATCATCATCACTGAGGCTCCTGTGTTGGTGGGTGGCTGTAAAGACCCACATTTGTCCCACACTGTCCCCCGAGTGGCGATATAGGGGGTGTGTTATGTTTTTTTTAATTTAATCCCAAATAAATATTATATTTCTTAAGTGCTGGGTGCTGTGGTTGCAGCCGTGGGACGGGCATGTCAGTGGTGGGGGCTTGGGTGGGGGGAAGGAGCCTGGGGAGTGGGGTGTGACTGTGGGCACCAGGTGGCCACTGCAGGAGGTGGCAGGGAACGGGGGTGACGCTTGGCAATGTGGGGACATTGGCATGGGAAGCAGCAGGGACCCGATCCAGGTGTGGGGACACGGTGCTCTCGAAGGCCATCAGCAGCACTGCTGGCACCTGCCCCCTGAGCAACCCTGTGGCGCCTGTGGGGTTTGGCTGGTCTTGGCCATGTCGAGCATGAGATAACAGGACCTTGTCCCTGAGGGGTGGTGGTGTGGGGGGCTGTGCCCTGGGGCAGCTGGTGCTCGAGTTTGGGGTACAGCAGGGCTGACCAGCACCCCACAGAGAGCAGTGTGGATGGGGCACCCACCAGCTGCCCCCCAGGAGGGACCCTGCCCATCCCAGAGCAGGGCCAGGTGTCTGTGCCACGTCCCATCATGGTGCCAGCACACGATGGGCAGATGTGGCCGTTCCCAGGGAGCATGATAAGATGGGGCGATGGGGCTGAGGAGCCCTGTGCCCCCAGTGTGGGAGAGTCCCCACATGGCAGCGGCGGGAGGGGCCACTCCAAGGTCCCCAGGCCCTATAAGAAGGGTGAGCAGCCCCAGTGCAGCACCTTTGGTCAAGCACAACCATGCTGGGAGCCATCTGTCTCGTCGTGCTGCTGGGCTACGGTGGGTGCAGGGGATGGGGAGGGGACAGGGCAGGGGGGAACGGGACCCTGGTGCCTGCCATGGCCCTGGGCATGGGCTCAGGCAGCCTCTGATATCCCTGTTCTGGGTGTCACACAGCCTACGGATGCGGCCAGCCGGCTGTGCCACCACAGCTGGGCACCCGCGTGGTGGGCGGTGAAGACGCCGTAGCCCACAGCTGGCCCTGGCAGGTAAGGGGGGCACGGGGATGAGGGTGGGGACAGGGATGGGGACATTCCTGCTCTGACCCCGTGCCTCTGCCATCACAGATCTCACTGCAGTACGAGAGCTCTGGATCTTGGCACCACACTTGTGGCGGGACCCTGATTGCCCCTCAGTGGGTGCTGACGGCCGCCCACTGCATCAGGTGGGTGTCAGGGTGCTGGGTGAGGTCTGTGCCCTGGAGGTAAGGCATTTGTGGGGACTGACACCCTGCTTTTTTCCCTGGGCAGCTCTTCCTTGACGTACCGTGTGGTGCTGGGCAAGCAGGTCCTGTCGGAGGATGAGCCTGGCTCGGTGGCCGTGGGTGTGGAGAAGACGATCGTCCATGAGAATTGGAACTCCTTCCTCATCATGTAGGGGATGGGATATGTCAGAGATGGATGGAGGGTGTTGCTGCCAGGGACCTCCATCCCCACAGCCTGGGACCGATCCTCATGCCTCATCTGTCCCCACAGCAACGACATCGCCCTGGTCAAGCTGGAAGAGGAGGTGCAGGAGAGCGATACCATCCGGGCCGCCTGCCTGCCCGAGGCCGACAAGATCCTGCCCAACGACTACCCCTGCTACGTCACCGGCTGGGGACGCATCAGGAGTAAGCAGGGGGTCCCCAGAGGGTCCCCAGAGGGTCCCTGGGGAGGGGGTGCAGGCACAGGGTTTGTGAGGTACGAGGTTTGCGTGTCATTACAGCCTACGGGCCCCTGGCCGATGTCCTGCAGCAGGCTCTGCTGCCCGTGGTGGACTACGAGACCTGCTCCCAGAGGAACTGGTGGGGCAGCAGCGTGCGCACCACCATGGTGTGCGCTGGCGGTGATGGCATCGTCTCTGGCTGCAACGTGAGTGCCGGCGCTGCAGGGCGGCGGTGGGTGGTTGAGCGGTGCAGGACCGCAGCGCTGGGAGGGGAGGGGATGGAGCCGTGGGGGTGGATGGCCAGGGGTGCATCAGCGGGGAGCCCAGGAGCGCTGGGTGTGGAGCACGTACCTCTCCGTGCAGGGCGATTCCGGCGGCCCCCTGAACTGCCAGCGCGAGGACGGGATCTGGGAGGTGGAAGGGATCGTCAGCTTCGGCTCCGGGCTGAGCTGCAACCTGATCAGGAAGCCGACGGTGTTCACCCGGGTGTCCGCCTACATCGACTGGATCAACGAGGTGGGTGCCCCTTCCTCTGCCCCCGCACAGGGGTTGGCCACGCTGCCCCTGCCCCGCCGAGGGTCTCACCGTGAGCCCCCCTGTGTCTTGTCTTTGGCAGAAAATAAGCTCCAACTGAGGACTCGGCACGTGGAGATTCAAGTGTTGAGTGTGATAAAGGCAAAAGTGCTGACCTGGTCTCGTGTGGTTCTTTGGAGGGATTGTGGTGGAACTGAAACCCGGGGCTGTGTCTTGTGGTCCTGGGGTTCTGCCCCTGTGCTGGGGAGAGGCCCCCCCATCGTGCAGAGGTCCTGGGGAGGCTGACATGGGCAGACGTCCCACAAAGTGCTCAGGTGGGGGCAGAGCCATGGCCATTGATAAGCCCAAGGGCTCGAGGTTTGGCTGGTGGTTTGATGGAAGAGGGGCTGGAGTCTGGCTGGGTGGTCTTGGGGGGTCACAGTGAGGTAGATCTCCAGCAGGATGCTGCAATCCAGTGGCACCTAAAACCAGCTTCACTTACCCCAGCAGTGCAAGCAATGGGCATTGGCAGTTCCCAGCCAAGTTTTCTGGCTTCACCACAAGGATTTGAGACCAGAAAAGAGACCAGAACAGAAAGCAGATCCTGTCTGTCTCACTCTGGCCATGGCCTTTCAACCTCCAGCATCACCCTAATTGGCTCAACCTGAGCCTGCCCCCAATTCCCCTCACTTGGGGCAGGCAGTTCCTGCTCCCTGCCCTCTGCTCCTAACTCCCAGCCATCCCTTCACCCAAACCCAAACCCCAGGCTGGGAATTGCTCTGCCTGCAGCACGAAACTGCCTAAAAATATCAGAAATGCTTCCCAAAGAAGCAGGGAAATACCTACTGACTGCCCCTGAGCAGCACAGACCTCCCCTAAGACCACTGCACCTCCCGAGGGCTGCTCTGAGGATTCTTTCTCCCCCAAAATCCCACACACATCCAGGGTTTCTGACCTGAAACGGTGACTGCAGCAGCTCCTGAGGGCAAGTATTTACCTCAGCTCTGATATTCCAAAGAATCCTCATCAGTTTCCTGCTGTAACTCCTGTTTAACACCCAACTGATTCCTCGGAAGGAGGAGGATGCCTGCTCCACAGGCTGGCACAGCCACACTAGAAACTCTCCCAGTAACAGCAGGGGTTCAAAATTTACATGAGCTAAGGTCCTCCTGCTCTTCCCATTTCAGAGGAGCCTTTGGAAGGTGCTAAAATGGCAATCAGGAGATGGAACAAAGGAGGGAATACAGCAAAAGATTTGCTTTTTCTTTGCATTTATTAAAAACACTGATGGCAAAACTCATCCCAGTACACCTGAGGGCCAAACTTGATCCCATCAATCAGTTACCCGGGCAGCACAGGACACAAATATCAGGATCAGCAAGGAAAAACACTCTGAGGCTGAGTGTGGCCACGTGAAGAGCCAGAGGTGCTCTCCTCTGGCTCCAGAGGCTCCAGGCCGGCATGTACCCCAGAAAAGGGGCTTCCGGCTCCAATCCCCAGCATTTCCCATGGGCACAGCACGATCTCCACCTCATCTCAACTTCACAGCAAGGACAGTGTTTGCAGATCACATTTCTCCAGACAAATATCTCAAGAGACAGACAAAATCCAGGGGAGCATCAACGTCGAGTCGTGGCAGGCACAGATTTCACCCGGCCACAGGGAAGGAACTCTCACACTTGGCAGGGACCTCGGAGCCCAGGTGTCAGTCACACATGAAGTAGAATTTTTTACGGAGGAAGTTGAAACATCCTGGGATCTGCTTGTAGCTCCCCTTGGCTGAGACAGCATTTGCCACCTGAGAACAGATGGAGAGTGGTTGGGGAGCAGATGCTCTCCTGACTGTTGCAGGAAGCTTGGGAACAGGGGTCAGGAGTGGGATTATGGACATGAGAGATGGCAGGGCTCTTAATATGAGACATTTTTGCTGGCAAAGGCAAAGTGAACTCAGGGGAACAGGCTTTCAAGAAACCTCAGCCATACCACCAACCCCTGCCTCTGGCAAGTGCTTCTTGGCATGAGCCAGAACTCCCTCCTTCCCTTTGGGAATTCAATTAAAAGCAAGTTCCTTCCCACCCATTTTCTTCCAGATGTGCCTGCCACTTCCCCAAGGTGGTTTCCTTACACTGAACACCAGCCAGCAGAGAGGGGCTCGTGCTTCTCCCCTGCAATTGCTAACTGCCGAGCCAAAGCAGCACAGTGACATCCAAACCCCATCCTCCAACCCCAGAACAGGCTTCTGACAGCACCCAAGTCCCATCAGCTTGGATTTAGAGGAAGGGACAAGCTACACCATTTTAAGCAATTTCCTTGGAAAGATTAAAGCCTGTATTGCCAGGATTACCCCTCGCCGGAGAAACCTCGCGGTGATTTTTGGCAGATTGAGGCCAGACACTTTCTTCGTAATTAAATCTCTCTGCAGTACCTCCAATTAGCCCATCCCTAAAGTCAACACTCAATATCCTCATTCTTTTTTTAATTGTAGGCCTCCACACCCCTGACTAATCACATTCCTGACTATTTCCTTCATCACGACCACAAAAAGAAGGCAAAAAAAAAGACATTTACCCGCAGTAACATGTTCAGCAGGTCTTCTGAACGGGCATATCTCTCCAGCACACTGTCCAGTGTCTCCACGTACCACGAGCCAGTCGCCTCCCTCCAGGAGACAAAACCTTCAGAGAAAGAAGGAGAATGTTATGCCAAAGCCCATCTGCTGTTCTCATCCTGCTCGGTTCCTGCCTCCCCAACGGAGCTGTCGCCCTGAACTGCCGCTGACTTTGGCTACGAAGCTCCGACTTTTCTGCTAATTCCCCTGTGCCCAGCAAAGTTCTGTCACCTGGAAAAGTTGAGTAGGAGACCAAGATGTCGCTGGGTGTGGGCAAACAGGCAATGGCATCTGGCTCGTCCACGTTACCCGACGGAGCCCGAAAAGGAGTCGCATCTGATTCCAAAGAAGCTCCGGGAGTTTCATCTTTGGGTGAATCGCAATCCACTATGAAGCCTCGATCTTTTTGTTCTGCAAAAAGCAGCAATGAGACAGTTCCTGATGACACCCCACCCAAGGGATCCACAACTGTACATCCAAACGTTAAGAAAAAAATGGCGAAAGAAGAGGACAAAGGCCCTAGAACAAAACAAGGCTTTTTGGCCCTTCGGCTGCGCTGGTCGAGCTGTAACCATTGGTGTTTCGTACAAAATTCCTCACTTTGTGTTTCCACACCGACTTACGGCCGAAGAGCTGGAGCAGCCACTCAGCACATGGTAAAAGAAGGGACAGCTGGAGTGAGAAGACAGCTGGAGAGAGAGACAGGCGACCAACAGAACGGGAACCGAAGCCACAGCCTGACCACATCTCCGAAGCCCAGTGCTACCAGAGCCAAGACAAAGATTCACCTCCACCACAGGCCTGGATGAAGAAGAGTTTGGGTTTTCCTCTCAAACTTGGGCAATTGGACCCATTGAAATAGTTCACAATCTTTTCTATGGGAATGGGTTTTCCATCCGTTCCGTAAACGCCTCCGGGAAACTGAATATGGCTCGTCTGCAAGAGGAAAATGCAGGAGCTAGTGATGGGGGTGGAGGGCTGGTGACCAGGGAGCCCATTTCCCATTGGGTCTTTCGTGGCCAAAAGGTACCACAACAAATCCTGGTGGTTGTGGAAATTCCTGTGGCCAAGTCAGGGCGAGGGGACACCCAGAAGCCATTTGGAACACACTAAAATCCAGCAATCCAACTTCTATTATCCAACTCCTATCCCACCTCCTCCAGCAACTGAGTTCTTCATCCTCTGGGACAACAGGACAAATGTTGTACCATACAACATTTTCTTAACATTCCCTCTCCTCTCCTTATCCTTCAAGAGCTCTGACTGGGAATAAACAGGTTTTACTGCTCATAGAATCTCCCTGTCAGAGCTGGAGGACTGGAAGGACTAATTAATGGCATGAATCTGCATCAGGAAAGGTTTAGGTTGGATATCAGGAAAAGGTTCTTCACCCAGAGGGTGGTTGGGCACTGGAACAGGCTCCTCAGGCCTGGCCCCAAGATGCCAGAGCATAAGGAGCATTTGGACAACGCTCTCAGGGACAGGGTGGGATTGTTGGGGTGTCTGTGCAGGGCCAGGAGTTGGACTCAGTGATTCCTGTGGGTCCCTTCTAATTCAGGATATTCCATGATTCTGTGAACAATCACAGTACGAGGCTGAGCATACTCTCTTCACTCTCTGCCAGTTGTTCAGTTCCAAATTATTTGCCCCGACTTCCCAACAGAAACACTTGTCCACAGGCAACACTGGATCAGACTACATCAGAGAAGCTCCCATTTTCTTTAACCCAGACACAGACCACTTCTTCCCTCCTGCCCTGCAAGAGACCTCCCTTCCACGCCTGAGGAAAAAAGGGAGAGATGGGATGAACCCACCTGACAGCCATGGGAAAGGATGACCACGATGCAGCAGTCCAAGGCGCTGTGGTCCCGCCGCGCCAGCTTCTGCAGCTCCAAAACCACTTCCTACGTGGGCAACATCACACAAAGAGTTTTTTGAACCATATTACAAATTACTGCTAGGCCCTGCTCTCATTAGGCATGGAAGGACCTGGAAGAACTCTGCCACGGGATAAGGAGAGTCCCAAGGACAGGTGGCAAAAGCCACCAGCAGAGAGCACGTATTTCTATGTATCTGCCCTTATTTAACATTGGCTGCTTTAATCACACAAATTTCTCACCTCTCTGCACTCTTTACAACACAGGAACATAAACCAAAACACACTTCCACATGATTTATCCACTGAAATCTGCTGCTTCTGACCAGGAGCGGGGGGTGAGCAGAGAACCACGTTTTACTTCCAGAGGCCACTGCGGACGATCAAGCTCCCCCCTCACCACCTCAAACAACAGCTGAGGGCTGTACAGACAGACAAATCACACAGCCCCAGTGCTGTCCCAGCTATCCCCAAAACACAGCCTGACCTATTACCCTACAAATCACAGCCAGGATTCAACAATCAGGCAGAAGGCTGAAAACATGCAAGGTCTTCTTTCCTTCCGCAATCACAGCACAAGAGTAAAATAAGAGGATGCAAGTGGTTGTCTGTGTGCCCCGTGCTGTTGGCGTGGGGTTACATCCCCTAACATGT